CTCTCTTTCTCTCTCTCTCCCCTTTTCTACACTCAATATACCTGCTCATCATTTTCCATGTCTTCCATTCTGAAGTTCTGTATTTGACATTTACCATACACTTGCCTTCCATTCGTTTGCAGCAGTCGCTCTCCCTTCCTCCCCCCTCTTTAAGTCAACATCAGCATCTTTTTCAGCTTTTGGAAAACGTCACAAGTCAAAGGCTCTTTCAACATCTTAGGATCTCCCTTATTCTTAGAGAAGATTGGCCAGAGACCCAGAGGCCTCTTTCACTGAATTTGCAATGTGCAAGCCACGATTTGCAACATGACATCATGTCCTCTTGTGTAAATCTTGACACATTTCACTCATCAAAACAAACAGCCGTACTTGTGACCCATGCACAAGCATGAAACGTGTCCAAGCATTGCTCGGATTATAGGCCAAGTTCCCACCAAGAACAGCAAGTTGGAGGTGTTACGTCCTCATTGGCATGTCATTCATATTGCTGAATAAAGGTCAGGATGATATTGTTTGCTGCTATAGTGCCAAAAGCTTATGCAATCATATATTAAAGATTTAAGTTTGTTTTTGTGAGATCTGATATCTGAAATAATATATAAATTACCACAATGCAGTAAATCTCACTCATATGGTGCCCCAAGGTAATCTAATCAGAGGCACAGAATTGTTTTCCAACTACTGTTTGACACAGGCAGTAGGACAAATACTATACATTTGGAGCGAATGAGGGGAAATACAATATTTAATTCCCCGTCAGTTCTCTTTGGATAACACACACTCTCTACAAGGTAAATCGGATCTTCTGTGAGCTTACCTTCTCTGATAAACACAGATCTTGAGACTTTATCTACATCCTGGATTTCTCCTGTCTCAGTATTTCAAGGCGAGGTGCTTACTTAACTGCCTTCTTTTAAAAAAAAATTCTCAATCCGTCCCTAACTCACTGTTTCTCACAATCACTGCCGCCATCCCTAAATCTGACATGTTCCAGAAAGTCATTCATGCAATATGGCTTCCCCCGCTGTCACAGGAGTAAACTCATTAGATGTATTACATGTCATACTCACTTGTCGTGAGGCTCTTGCGGATTCATTCTCGTGAAGGGAGTTGTAGCCATTCCACATTGATTCTCGTGTGTTAGGAAAACAGTTACTCAGTTTGGAGTTACTCTCACAGCCCGTCCCCTACAGAGTGTAAAGTAGAACCGTGGCTCAATAACTCATCACAGACTAGCACATACACACTCACACACACTCTCCACACATATAATGCAGTGGGAAAATTGCTCAAACTACCCCCCA